ATAGTTCGGCATCATTGTCTAACTAATCAGAATACTAAAAATACAGTGAAAAGGAGTTTGTTGAAAAATAAATATGTTTGGTATCTTCTACTCTTTGTATATCTATTGCAAGATATACTCGAGAAGATGCCAAAACAACATGAAACCCCTATTTCGCTCTCTCGTTTGAAATTTATGTTAGAGTTTATACGCGAATAAATCCAGCAATATTCCGAAACAATAAGACAAAGAAGCCACGTTTGGGTGGTAGCCTCATGTTGTTTGTTTATTGTTTAGGTTGTCTGCTGCAACTCGGTCAATCCGTTGCCAACGGAATTATTCTGACGAGTGGGTAGCGTTGTTTGTGTAGCTTATTTAATAAATTTGTATACTAAAATATCATCTTAACCATTCCACTAAAAGAGGGATTCATCCTTACAGCATAAAAAAATGTTACGAGATCCTCAATTTATGTAAATAGGGAGAATCTAGGGTTTAGTTGTGAAATAGACTTTTCTCTGTATCTTACAATATTTTGAAAAAATACAAGTTGATAAATACTTAGCTGCTCAAACGTAGCTTTAAAGCCTGATGATGTGGCTTGTTAAGTCAAAGTGCCCTGGATGTTGTCTTCGAACTTTACTCAACCGCCTATATTTTAATGCATTATTATTATTTTTTATTTTTACATCTTTGCATGTATTGAAAATATAAAGTGTATGCAAATTGCTAGCTATGGAACAAAATATTAAAGTTTTCTATACAAAATAATAATACAATCCTGAAATTACAATCATGTAAACAATATGATCTTTAATGTAGACAAAATTATTGTTCCTATGATAGTTGGTTATGCACATTAAGCTAACACCTCTATCCTCATGCTGTAATGTAATTATTCTATAATTTATTCTAGCTAACCACAGCTATCCAAATAAACCTATAGCCAAATCAAATCCTTTATTGTCAGAACAATTCACTGCATCTAAAAAATCATGAGATTAATAAACATATAGGCAAAATACCGATAGTATGAGTATAATAGTGTTTTATAAAGACTCGGCAATAATACATTTTTATATCACTCGGTAAGAAGTTGGTAAGTTAAGATGTTGGACGTTTACTAAACTCTTACAAACTGTAAATTGTAGAGTTCAAGTTACAGTGTCGGGATTTGAAAAATTAGTGCTGTCTAGTATAATAATCATTTATAGAACCATGTGTCGGAGACTCTGATGAATAATTTCTAAAATTCACAATCCAAAACATAGACACAACACTTATAATTTCATGTTGCCTAAGCCTAGGCTTACACTGGGTCCTACTATTAATCATCATCATTTTAACAGTTTTTAAAATTAAATTAAAAGTTTTAAAACTACTTGAGTATCTCAAAGCATGAGTACTGTATTCAAAACCTGTTGAATCAATACTGTATTTGTGGACGGTACTTTAACCTCAACGAAGTCTGTTTCGGCCAAGGAACGTGCCACCGATTCCGAGGTTGGAAAAAATATAAATAATGTTCCAAGAGACCGCCCTAAAGTGGTTTTAGACTAATACATGTGCTGACATGGAGGTGGTCCTTATAATGATGTAATGTCGCATACCAGGCATAGTTTTTATAGGCAGGCTTTATACAACCCATTGTCTAAGAGACAGACAGCATTCCCTTAGATTGTTTTGATATTTCCTATGTAAAAGTTTGGTAATAGTTAATCATAATCGGTTGACCGTTGATGGTAAAATAAGACTTCATTTTTGGATTTTAACATTTTATTCAAAACTTTTGAGATACTGTATCTGGACTTGTTAAAATTAAACTTAATATATTTCAGAATATCGATTCATATATCCCAATGTAAACAAGCCCATAACGTATGAAATATAAAAAAATAATAGCATTGTAAGTAAAAAAAATCACATAATTATTTTTATTGTTATGATAGTTTATTGTATTTAAATTACTTTGCTATTCGTAATGTCGAATTTACAATTGTCTTTTCTTTACGAAAAAGATTGCATGACATGATATAGACTATGAAAAAGATATAGTCAATGATGACAGTAAAAATGTGTGGTTTAACTGTTTAAAAAAATCACTCACGTCAGTAACTGATTATAATATGATGAAATATGTCTGTGATCAAACTTAACTACGTTGTCTGACAAAATTCTCATACAAATCATGTTTGACAACCATCATCAAGTAATAGACGTTTAAATATGTTGATAGCATATTAACGTATTAAAATATTCCCAATTATATTTATAATGCATTTCATGCACAAGATTGTGAGTAATAAGAAGGGGTGATATTTTTACTTTACAAGTTTATATAAGGCCTCAAACGCAAATAAATCCAGCAATATCCTTCGTCTTATACAGGACGAAGCGGCTGCCTTGGGTTATAACCTCCCGCTGCTAGTTTATATTGTTTTGGTTCTCCGCGGGACGTGCATTTGGTTATAGAGGCGCCGAATGTATACTACGGGATTGGTAAAAACTATTCAGTAGGTGGTCTGAGGAGGAAGCACGGCGAATTTCTATTAGATTAACAGGTTAAAATGTTTGCCTAGCAAATACAATGGATTGGCTAATTCACTTCCATGATTTCTTGACATCACCCCGTGTGATTTCTCCTTATAGGGAAAGGCAAAATTGCATCGTTTACTGAAAAAAAAAAAAACATGTAAGTTGATGAATCACATAAACATGCAAGAGAAACATGTAAAAGAAGGATTACGGGAGCCTTTCAGGATTCCAACAAAATTAGATTTCCATTTTCATCCATGTATTCAATTTCGTTGGTATCTTGATGGAAAACTATTCTATTTCCTTTGATGTCTTAGTAGTTTATGAACTGAAAGGTTTTCGTCCGGTTGGAAATTTGATATTTTTAGTATCGTATTTATTTTAATGTCGTACAACCTACATAAATCCATTTTAAATATGGATAAAGTATTTAAAATATGTAGCCGAGCAGTTAAAAAAGACGGAATACGCCCATTTAATGGTTGGAAAGAGTTATAGCAGCAAGCAGGTTGAATTCCGGAATCTTGCATCGTCCTAGTTCACCTATTTAGAGCCGTTATAGCATTTTTAAGCACCGAGACGTAACATATGGCATTTCTATGGTCGTATTTTACCCTCAGCGATCTTTAAACGTAAATTTAAAAAAATGGATTGCCTTCAGTTTTTAAAGTAAAGAATACGTCTACATTTCGGAATACCTTTCTCGACTTGACGCTACCTCTAAAACTGATTTCCTACCATTAGTTAAATAATAAATGATTATTTTATTCAAGATAATACTAACCAAATGAGTACATAAACCTTTTGAGAAACGTTGCACCCATATAGGCAGGGCTCTTTAAACTTGAAGGTTTTCCTTAACTTTCCTATTTTACACTTTAAAATCGAAAATTTAATTTTCTTCATTCGTTTTTATATAAAATAAACTTGAGATATCGGTTAGAAATTTTCAATAGAAAAATAACACATTATGTATATGACATTTTACATCATAATCCACCATATATAAGGTTGTATTAAGGGTTTTAGGCCATGGATGCATCATAGAAATGAACAACACCTTACTCACACACCTACGTTAACGCATACAGTATACATTTTACATTAACTATACACCATATTTGGAAACGGCCGACGATGTGAAACAATGTTAAAACACACAAAAATCCATTTGAGCTGCTAAAAAAGTATTAATATTAGCCAAGAATGTCTGTGGACATGTGAAACAAAATCATTAATTCCTTGAGTGATTTAATTCGACAATCTATGTAATTGGGTTTACAATCATATGTAAAACCGACTCTACTTCTGTACTACACCAACCACAGCTCACGTCAGTAGAATAGTATTGTTGTTACGTGCTGGCACCCTTTGGTGTTTGGTATGTTTGTGTTTGTCTATACTCATGTTTGCTATGCTTTGATGGGGTGAGTAGTTTTGGTAAACCTCTTGTCCCCTCTACTGAGACAGAGAGGTGTACTATAACTATAGCTAAGTCATCATGGATGTAGAGAGAAGGTGTTTGTCCCTCCCCTTGAATAGAGTTTTTGTGGACACGCTAGATAATTTACATTGTTTACATGTTTTAAGCGATATTTTAGGGGCTTGTTAATGACGGTAAACTGTTTAACATATTGTTTTTGTATAAGGTAAATAAATATAGATGTTATTTTAAGAAAGAGATACCCTAATTGTGAATTTTTTAAGATAGGGAAGATGTTTACTCATTTTATGGGTTTAAATTTAAATTACTACTCAACTTCAAATTCTGAACCAAAGTGAATACCATAAAACTGAGTTGTACCATCGACTATTACTATACTCAATGCAACCAAAATACAACCACAATTCGAGTAGAATATATTAATAGTAATTGGTTGTACGCAGTTTACCTTTGTTCCTTTAATCAACAGTAAGTGTAAAAATATTTTTTGTTGTCGATAATCAATGACAAGTCTGAATCTAAAATCTAAATTTAACGAACTATGGGACGGGAAGAATTTGAATTAAACCAGCTGTTTGTATTGTTTGTTTATGTTTTATGTACATGTTCATGAAATTTGTGTCTTAAAAACTGGTTTTGTTTTCCATTTTTGCTAACTGTGAAATCGGTATAATGAGCTTCAGGGATAATATAATTTGGATAAAACGTGGTAAACTTGTAGAAAGAAACTTTCCCCTTCTCGTTGTAGCGGTAAAGCGGCTAGTGAAACAATTATTTATAATTTCGAACAGATAATATTCAAACGTGTTGAAACATGCTTAAACATAATTATATATGTCCAGGTAAATCATGACACGTAGTTATTTTGTTAAAGAGTATCAAGTATCAATATTGAAAATGTATTAGGTACTGCAATACTGAGAAAATTTATATTCTCTTTAGACGTCTAGACATTCTCGTGAAATGTAATTGATGTATTATGTTAAATTACGTATCCAGCGTGGCTACATAAATGTATCATTTGGTTGTGGCGTTTTTTCAGATTGTTGGAGATTTTCATTATTCATGTGTTGGTCCACTCTGTCACCAGTCCTGACCCAGATTTTCCATCAGGTGAGTGTTTTAACACAGCTCAGTTTTAATCAGTTAAACAACGTTAAAAACATATGACATAAAGCGATGTCACTAGACGAGACAAGAATATTTTTTGACAAATAATTACTCGCACCTTTGATTGTTTATAGAATAGATTTTCGTAATTGTTTGTAAATCAAATAAATAAGTAAATAAATAGGTATAAAAGTAAATTCCTCCAATTAGCTAATTCTAGTACTTCTAGGTAAATTATGTTTCGAGAACAACTATTGTCAACCAGATAAATAGTAACATACTAATTATCTTTAAACAATTTGTAAAAGTTCTTTAACGTTTTTCTAACGTAACCGATTTTAGGCTCTCGGGAAGCCCTTTGTATAACGTTGTCTAATACAGAGAAAACTCAATATAATAGTTATTAAATTTCAGCCTACGATAGGCACTTATTCTAAGCTGTATATTAATAAAAGGTGTGTGTTGAGTGTAAACTATGACTCGGTGCTAGAATCAGCGAGCACAGAATATTTTTTCTTCGTGGAAAATTAAATCTGATTGAGTGTAACCATGGTGGGTGTTTCTCGCTATACAAATCAATACATAATTCAATAGCTACGCCGGATTCTCGGTCTTAGCTCAAGAGGATTAAAATGACATGAATAGAACTGTGTTGGCGGAGATCAGCTGATCAGCTCAGGATTTACCTTAGTACACAATCAGCCCTCCAGGTTCTGTAAGTAGGTTTGCATACCTGGTATTACTACACAGACAGAGATACAACCTCTGAAATAATATTATATCATAGATAATAGGGAATATGTGATTATATGTAGATAACCAATCCGTGATGCCAATGTAGTGGGTGGGGGGGGGGGGGGGTTTAGGAAAGGTCCATAAGACCAACCATAAGACTACCTTATGGATACGTAAGTGGACGTCTTATCTATGTGAACATGAACCATTGTATTATACTACAAAATTTTAATTTCACCGTGGCTCTCACAGAGTTTTCTTAAGTTAAAAAAATCTTCAATATTTTTTTTCATTAAGTAGTTAATGTAACTGAAGAGATTGTTAAGTTCGATGTACCTCTAATGGTTCACTAAAAACTATTCGTTAACTGGTAATCTCACTTGAAAAGCTAACCTATAACTAACTAAAATTTAAACTCATACAAATCAGTTGAGAAATTTGGGTTGTATCTCCCTTTGAAATATTTAGAGTAGGTTAAACTCTTTAGATTAAAGAGAAAAATAATCTTGTATCTTATGCGATATTTTGATAAATGAAAGTAAGTAGAGCTGCTCGGTGCTCCTGAGCTCCTAACTTGTAACAATTTACATATTTAACTAAATTTTGATATCAAGTAAACATTAGACAATCACAATATATGTTATAGTTTGCATTTAGCGGTCCTTTCACTTTTCTCGGTAAAAAGAATAGTGTGCACATTAGAAAAAGTTAAGTTAATTGACAGCTGAACACTCTGTCTTAGTTTCCATTTTAAACTATTTTCTCGTAATTAAAATAATTTTATTTTTATTTTTATGTTCTGACCTTGCTCTCTGCCGGCACAACAAGACAGAAAAACTCGGATGTTTTGATAAGGACCGGAAGAACAGCGGCCTCTCTAATGATAACAGTAGTGATACAAACGTAGGCAAGTCGGTGCATCGCTGTGACCTTTGTGATAACGATTGACTTACTATGCATACAAGTACGCGAGTGAAAATATTACATAGATTTAATAAATTTTTCACTTCACTACAATAATTTTAGTTGTACTTGGGACGAAATTTAACAAATTATGGTAGTGTAGTTCTTGGGTCGAAAATCTGGTGTTATGTTGTATAATTGAAATACTGTATTTCAACTTAAAATCCAACTATATTCAATGGGTGTTAACCATTGATTAATTTACAAACAATTTTCCTTAAAGAGTTTGGCGTTTTCATTTATAAAAGCCTATGGTTGAGAATTAAAAAAAGTATCGTCTGCACTTTAAGCAGAAAGAGCTGTCCCTCTCGGCTGTAGATTATAGGTCCAAGCTGACTTGAACAGTATCATTCCGTCCTACAATCTTATCCACCAACCGTGCTCTCCCCCGTGACTAATTACTTTGATTATTTTATGGAATATCAAATACTTCGTGTCAATTCTTGGATACAAAATCTTTGACAATCCTTCAAATAGTGACCCTACAATATATTACGAAGCATCCCTCGTATAACCAAAGACAAAGTGTATTACAAATAGTGTAGATTTGAATTAAAATGCTGAATAAAAGTTGCAGACTGTAAAAGGAAGTGTTCAAAATTTCATTTGTAAATGTATAAATCGTGAGTAAATCTGTAGACTCTGGATGGTAGGAAAGAAAAATATCACATTCTTTAGGGAAATAAAAATAAACAAACATCGTCATTCAGCATGTAATTGTCTTAAGTCTCAACCGGTTTGGGCACATCGCTGTTCCCACTCTGGACGACTAAGGGAAGGTAGCTTGGCTCGAAACTTGCCCAAGGGGCAGGTATAGGGAGTGAGGTCTGCGTTGAAATCCCAGTCGTGGCATAACCCCTGGAGGGCCGTGACCATGGGGCTGCGTCCCTTGGCTTGGTGGAGCTCCCCGGGCTGGTCCCAGTCTAGAGGTTGGTATAGGAGAACCTGGAAATAAACAATACAATGGAAGTCGAATGATTAATGTAATACTACTGAGGTTAGGTACACCAGACGTCGTTCTTTTCCTTGATAAATATTGTTTCACTTCAAATGTTTAGAGCAAAAGAGAATGCAATAACGTTTACCCCAGAGTATGGAGACTTTGTGCTACTTCCATGAAGAATATGAGTGTTCAGTAACCTTCAAATGCAAATTTAATGGTGAGGTCATTGGTGCGAATATCACCAGATAACAATGTGAGTCATGCAGCTGAGCTGGTTCCCAAAAAATACCGAAGAATAAAAAACGTCCTCAATATCAAAAAAGTCTACCTTGATACCAACAATAACAGCAATTCTTAACACCATCAGTTGTGTCTAGTGTTAACGATTGAGATTTTTTTTCTCTTGCTACCACAGAAGAGAAGGTATGGTTTAAGTTGGACTCTGAATTGCACTGTTCAGTATTATATCCAACAGTAGTGGTTACTGGGATTTGAACCCAAGGTTTTAGGACAGAAGGTCAATATTCTAGCCGTAACCGTGCCACAATAGTTAATTAACCCGTGATATCCCAAGACCTTAATGTACACACTTTATAAAACAACTCAATACTTCTGCTCTTGCTGCTCTTCTCTTTATGCACTTTGATTTTATTGTATAGTTAATTCATCAACATGATTAATTAATTACCCTGACAAATCCAGGCGTTAGTAAATTCAGTTTATTTAGTAATAAATTCCCCTTGCTACAATCACCACTTAAGGAACAGTTTTTTTTAATATTTATGTACCACCTTCACGTCTTTAGGCCCTACCCGGGAACTGTGTAACACATTAATTCAAGCTAGACCTAAACGATCACGCTATTATAACTTAGATGACACTAATTGACGATTAGCGGTATTCAAATCCGGCACCTCGAAGACTAAAGTGCCATGCATAACCAGACCAGCTCGCTCCCCACTTTATAATCATTAGACAATATCTTCCTTCTTTGTATAGCAGTGAAAAGCAGATGCTAAGCAAGAGCATAGATTATTAGCAAGAGTTATGCTACTGTCAAGTAAATGAAGCCTCACCCTGACTAGATCGTCCTGGTGCAGCTCGAAGATGAGTGCCGTTCCCAGATGGGGCTTGAACATGTGTAGCCCGAGGGATCCTAGGACAGCCGTGAGGAACAGCGAGTGAGATACGTGGAGGGTGACGCCGAGGCCGGGTGACGAGGTAGAGAACTGCTGAAGGAGACGGTGAAAGAACGGACCTGGGAAAGACGAATGGGTTGATACAGAAATGATGTATAACATTTGAGAAAATATTGTTACTTTATATTCTTTGTGCCTCAAATAATCGTTAACAATAGGTTTCAAAAGGTCCGTGGGTGTGTCGTAGAACATGTAATTAAGTCTTTCGGGTTGAAGACTTCTACAGTGACATATAGTTATACATTTTAAATGAAACCACGAGTAATTTCGTACTAGCAACGTACCAGGTTAAAATGTCGACACATACATAAACTATACAGTAGTAACTTAAAGTTTTTTATATATTTTAAACATGATTTAAAATAAAAATGATTCCTTTCGGTTCACCTTCGATTGAGTAAATGATCACACAGCCTTGCAAATTTTACGTAATGAACTCCATAAAAATGATTCCTTTCGGTTCACCTTCGATTGAGTAAATGATCACACAGCCTTGCAAATTTTACGTAATGAACTCCAATTCTAAACCAGTTATACGATGACATCATTCAGGATGAATTCAAATAGTTAGAAATTGGAATGATGGAAACATGTAACACATTTATTTATTGATTAACGACTAACCTACAGTAAAGTCCTCGGTGAGGTAGCGATCTCCTCCCGTGACGAAGTCAAACGTTTCCTCACTCATGTCTTTCCACCCCATCATCTCCTCTGCCCAAGATGGAGGGTCCTGACCTGTCTCTTGGCGCAGACACACTCTCTGGAAGGTTCAAACTTGGTTTACGAGTACATCTTTAACATGGGAATGGGATGTTTAATTATATCCATAGTCAACGGTTGCGATAATTTATCACTTTTTATTTGAGGAAAAAGTTATTCCCTCCTAGTCCGACGTCAACAATGTATTTTTACAATGATGCCTACCTCAATGTACAGCGTGTCCCAGATCTTCATCAGGTCCAGTTTGGTGATCACTCCCTGTACTCCGGTCAGTTCTCGGATCTCCCCCACCCTGGGGTAGACGTCGTTGTCGTCGTCCGCCACTGTTAGGTCAGCGTGGAGTTGTTCCCAGGCGTGGGTCCGACTCCTCTCCCTCGTGTACCTTGGACAAGCCCCGTTGTCTGGCTGGGAGATCATCTGAGGACAAAGTCATTAGGGAA